ATTAGTAACTTGTGAGAATTGTAGTAGAAAATGAGAATTATGATTAGTTATTTGACTCTGTTAATCCTTCACGTGGACTTAAAGTAATTCCTAAAATTACTCAACTATTGTCCACTTTTACCTTATCCTCTATACTGAGATATCTCTAACAGTATCACGTGTAGTTGTATCGCCTCTATTAATATTAAAGCCTCTGTTTTATAGTATCATATTATCTCAATAGACCTCCAATAGTTGTAAAAGTCTCCCTTTGTTTTTCAAGTTTATTTTTATCTCTCTGTACACCATTGAAGTTAAATTGGCTTTTCATTCATATTATTTTCTTAAGCTCTCTCATAAACAGTTATAGTATTACAAATCCATGTGAATTTTTTAAAAAGTTGCTATAAATCATAACTTAAAGATGTTGAGTCAACTTATTATTTAGTATACAAAAAATTAATATATATATAGCTGAATACAAAAAAGTAATATGCCTATAATATAAAATATTGTAATATTTGTATAGTTTAATCTATTAGACAATTATAATATAAATATCACATAATTTTACTATTTTTATTATCATAAGTTGATTTAAAAATATTATTATTATAACTATTCTATATATTTAAGATAATACTCAAAATATATAATAAATATCACAGATTAAAATGAATTTAGATTAAAATGAAATTGAGAACCTCTCTTGCTCATCTTTAAAGCTTATAAAACCTACATATATTCTTTTTTTAATAATTTTAACTCTAAACCCTACCTCTAATGCTAAAAAGAACCCCAAAAAATATTTTTCAAAAAATTTTAAATTTTTCTTAAAAAATAAAAAAATTTTAATTTAATCTGATTTCTTTAATTTGTTATAATAAATATTATGGCTGATGCTAAATTTGGCTAATATTAAATATTATGTAAAAATTTGGACCAGAAATTGTAGATTGCTTCTGTGTTATAGAAAAAGTAAAGATATTTGGGTAACCAATACAAAGTTCTTCAAGTTTATTTGTGTTAGGGTTATCATCTATATTAATATTAGAGTTTAGAAAGTTATACAGTAAAATCGCTTAAGGAAAATATACAAAGTGTTGTTTTTTATAAAGATTTTTAAAAAATTATTGATTTTTGACAAAGAGATATTTGTTTTAAATTTTCATAATTGATATGCAATCTGCAATTTTTGGCCTAAATTTTTATATGATATTTAGCATTAGCCAAATTTAGTAGCAGCCATGACAATGAATAAGAGAGATAAAAGAGATAAATAAAATATAACAATAACAGAATAAGCATAAGAAATAAGATATAATGTGGATGTAATAAATATAATAGATATTATTGAGGCTAATAAGAGTTTATACTACTAGTATAAATTAATAGTCTTAATCACATATTATTTAGTGACAGGGATCAGCTTTATAAAGTCAATACTATTCAGGTTAACAGTATCTAATCACATTTATTAGTATTAGACAATATGAAAAATCAAATCTATTTATATATTTAACCCAAATTTAGAACTAATTATATCTATAAAACTATAGTACTTTAGTTTAAATTTTAAAATTTTAAGCCCAATTTTGGTTTTATAAAATAGTGTAACAATGTCTTTTGAAACTCAACCCTATTATATTGTATTACTTCAAACAATACAATATCTGTTGGATTTAATATGAGAACTGATAATAGTATTCAAAGTTCAATTAAATAAAACTAGATAAAGTTAATATTAATACTTAGGGATAGGCAAATTGAAAATTTTTAAATTTACTACACAGGCTATGCAGGCTGCACAGCCTGCACAGCCTGCACCCTTTAGAAGTCTAGAGTTCATGATTACATATATATATATAAAACACCTACTTTATATGTATAAAGTTAGGCTTCTAATATTTTTTGTTAGTACTTCAAGATCAGTTTAAATAAATTTTGCCTATTTTTTAAAATTTTTAGCGAAGTTTTCTCTCAACAACCACCTAATAAATTTTGATAAAAATTTTTTTATTTGAATTCTACTAGTTTATAAAATTCTGATAAAAAAAATTTTCTAGAAATTTATCAAGTTATTATCAAGAAAACCTTAGTTTAAAGTAACAGCAGAGACCATTAATATACATATATATTAAAACTGATGAGGGATTATATCTATTACAATTAAATCTAATATAAATAATTTAATTTGTAATTGATCACAGAAAAGAGGAATTCACTCTAGATTGAATACTTTCTCTGCTATTGTTCAAAGTTTAAAAAATTTATGCGAGCCTTTTTCAAACCTTTAAATAAAGCTTTCTTGACAACTACCTAATAAATTTCAATAAATTTTTTTTTATTTGAATTAAACAAATTTACTTAAAAGTGATTAAGTGATTGCAATAAAAGCTTTGTTTAAAGTTTTAAAAAATAATTAGAATTTATGAAGGATCTCTTCATATGACTCAGAAGAGAAACCAATTATTAATAATTCTAATAAATTTGCAGATTATTTGGCCAAATCTAAAACAAAACAAATTTAAATATAGTCAAATAATCTGCAAGTTTGACCAGAATTATGAACTAATCAGATGATATAAATTCTCTGTATTTTAGAGCTAATTCAGAATGATTTCTGATTAGTTAATTTAAGCCTATGCTATAAAGCTAACCAGAATTATACTAGCTAGCCTGAATTATAAAATTATATTGTGCAGTCACTCAAAAATGCCTGCGCAGACTGTGTAGTGAAATCCTGTAGCAGCCTATCCCAATTCATACTTGTTGGTAAAAATATGATTAGTTAACTATGTGGTATTTGTCATTTATTATATTTGTAAAAATATGAAAAAATTATGATTATTTAAGATACAATATTGGGCAAAATTCATTGGATAACAGTAATTTGGCAAAATCAGAACAAATGAATATATGCTGCTTCACAGCACGTGAGCTAATCATTTGTTTAGTTGAGCCAAATTATCGTATTTGACAAATTAATCAATATTGGTATTATCTAGCAATTTATGTTCATGATTAGTAGAGAGTCATCAACTGAGTTTTAATTTAAATAAACATGATTATATTGTAATATATGAAAAAAATAATGAAATTCATAATCATAAGAGTTTGCTAGATAACTATACAATATTTTGTTGATTATTTATATTTAAAAAATTGCCAAACTCTTAGGATAAGAACAACTAAAATATGCTAACAACAATCAACTTTTAATAGTATTTTGAGAAAATTTTTCAAACTACTGATTCGATTTCAACAGCATCCAAATTAATAACTTTAGAAGAATTAATATTACAAATATTATATACACAACAAATAAAATATAAAAAATATATATTAAAGTATGTAAAAGACTATAAACTAGAAATTTTATATTTTATTTATTGATTCTCAGTTAATTTTATTAACTACTAACATTAAGAAGAATCTAATATATTTTTAACGCCAAATAAATTGTTAGATTCAGATAACAGTAAATTATTATAATATTCATCTTGATTTGAAAGGGTATTTTCTTTGATATAACATTAAACTAATATTTTATTTGTAGAAATATATACTAAAATCTTTAAAAAAGACAGAGAAGGGATGATTGATTTAGTTATAAAATTTAGTAAAAAGAGTGTTTAGCTTCTGGTAGTCTATTTATTGTCTTAATTTAATCCTAATGATTTTTTAATTAATCTTTTTAAATATCAATAATTTAAATTAGAAGAATTTTTTAAATAATTTCTTTTTGTACTAAATGATTTATAATAATTTTTAATTTTACAATTTTTTAGTTAGATTTTTATTGACTGATATGTTTTTTTGATATTTTATTTCACATACATACAACATATATAAAATTACATGAAAATTACTCTCAGCAAAAATTATTTTGGTGCTTCATAATTTTGTACCTCTAATGTTAGTAAATTTAATACTAATTTCATACCTTAATACTAATTTTAGTATGATTTTTAGTGATCATCTGATTGACTAGGCAGAGAATTTTGGGCATGAAAATAGGTTTTGTTCAGTTGGAGGTTGGATCTGTGACTATCTGCAGTTTAAGATGAATATTCAATTAAACGCAAATATTCTTTTACATTATTCATAAATACTTAGTAGTAGATTAGATTATGAATATTCAATAAATTGTCCTGAAACTTGACAGAATCACATAAAAGCTAAACTTTTTCAAAATAATTCACAAAATATCTGATACTGATTAATTTATACTATGTGGCTTATAAGTGATGATTTAAAGATAAAATAACTCGCATTTGTATAAGAAAGATTCAATAGAAAAGCTGCATTAAGCATAGTTAATAGATTGAATTATTTCTTTTGAATTATGCAATTGCAAATTTTATTGTTATATATTATTTAAGCCAAATTTGGCACTAATTTAATACTAATATAAAAGCCACTCTAATTTAAAGTTCAATTTAGTTTTGTGTAATATAAAATTATAGCAAGTTTCATAAATTTTATTTTATCAATATATATATATTTATAAACCAGTTTTTGAAATTTTGATTTCAAGATAACAGTCTTTAAAGAAATTTTACTTTAAAATTATAGACAATTCCAACATAAAAATCATTCAATTAAATTACTATAAATAATTATATTAACTCCTTACTTTTCTATACTATCTATTAAATAAACTGAAGAATATATACTGAGAGAGTTTTTTTATATTATTTCTTTATATTTTTATACTGCCTGAAATTTACTCTATATATTTACTTCTTAGGAAAAAATTTAATTTATAACTTTAGCAATTTGATTCTATCGAATCAGATCTGTCAGGTATCTGTATCAGAATATCCAACTTTATCAATTTGATCTTTAACAAGATTAAATCTATCAGATATTCATGTCAGGATATTATCAACTTAGGGAATAATTTCATATGATAATAAATTATATAAAAGTAGTTGTACAATTCAAAATAATATTTAAACCAATTATGCTTGCTAATATTTTGAGTGGTTACTTTCAAACAAATTGCTCAAACTTCAATGAAGAAAAAAAAAAGAAACGTATCTCCAATTGAACAGAAAGAATCCCATCGAGTAACAAGTAGATCTTCAAGAACTAGACAAGATAAAAGAAATGATAGATTATATAATAAGACCCAATTAATTAAGAAAATTGAAGAACATGTGAGATATTTCTGTAATCAAAAATGTAATGTACCAAAGAAGACAGATTTATTTACAAAAATTAAATTCAATAGTTCAACTGTTTAAAAGAAGTTGCTAAGGCTGTGAATGAGGATGATCTTTAAATTTTTTAATTAATTTATTCAGATTTTAATAGTAAACAAAAAAAGAGTGATAACAAAATTAAAAGGTGTTTTGTTGTTTTTATACATATTTTTAAAAGTTATTGGTTATTTATTGATATTTTATTTTATCTAGACTACGCAAAGAAGTTAAATATCTTAGAGAAGAACTTAATTATGTTAAAAATGAACTTCGATGCCTAGAACAAGAAAACATAGATTTGAATTCCCAAAGCTTACAGGAAGTTGCTAAAGATGAAACGATGAGAAAAGAAATTGAACTAAAGAATAAAAATATTGATGAATTAATTAATCAAGTCACGAAATTAAACTTGAATAAAGAAAAAAAGATTAATATGATCGAAAACTTAAATGCTTAAGTAAATTTTTGTATTTAATAAGAATTAAAAATTATTTGATTTTTTTAATAATAGATTGAAAATTTAATGAGAGATATCGAATTATATAAAAAATTATAAAATGGCAGAACAGGAAAGGAGTCAAAATGCAATAAAAGTAAATTTTAATAATTATTATACTTTTTAAAAAATTTTTAATATATTTACATTATTCATATTTTTGTAGATATATGATAAGCTAGCAAAAAGAGATGATGCAAAAAAAAATACAATACTTTCATAGAACAGCATGAAAATTAACTAAGAACAAGAAATAAAAAAAAAACTGCTCTTTATTTACAAATTAATCTTTTACAAAATAGGGTCAAGAACTTAGAATTGTTGCTAAGTATCAGTACAAGAAATTACAGAGTATTCACTAATAAGAGTTCAATTTATAGAATGGATCTAGACAATAGAAACACAATTGTTTCAAATAATGCTGATATATATCAAATTAGTTATTCTAATAATAATTCTTAGAGAACAATTGATGATGATTTTTGATCAAATTTTTATCATAAAGTTTCATATTAAAATAAGATTTTTTACTATTTTATGATTTTTATCATTAATATAATAATAATAAAAGAAAATTTTTTACTATGTAATAATCATGTATAGTTTGATTTAATTTAAAAGTAATCAACTATAGTTTGATTTAATTTAAAAGTAATTATAGAACTAGAGATACGAACCAATATTCATTAGATATCTAAATTATGGATATCTACTAGATTTACTATTATTTTTAGTATCTAATGAATAATGGTTCACAACTCTATAAAATTAATATCTTAAAATATATATTTCTCAATATTAAGTAATTAAAGCTCAAAGTCTTAATAAATTTATTATTAATTTATCTGGCTAAATGTGAAAATTTATAAAAATTCAATTATAAATTTTATAATTTTTAATATATATATTGTTTCTAGTATGATATTTGCAATCTTTAGCTTTAATTTTTGAGTAAATACAGAAATAAACCTTAAAAAATTGCTGGATTACTATTTCTAATCAAAATATACAAATAAAAAATTTATAGAGGTAGATATATATAGTGAGGAACTGAGAGGTATAGTATTAATTATAAATACTTGTTATTAGAAATGCATACAATTCTAATATTAAGTAGACAAACTGACTGGTTTAGGGGTTGAGTATTGCATCTTTTATTATTTTATAACTTACTATTAATCAGCTTATTCTGAGAGAATTTCTCTCTAATCGATGTTTCTTTGATAAGGCTTCTGTGAAATATATACAAATGTGATTTATAATCTATTTTTTTTGATACAGGGGTTTTGAGCTATTATTGTTTCAAGGCTTACTATTAATCAGCTTGTTCTGTGAGAATATCTCTTTAATTGATATTTTCTTTAATAAGACTGCTGTGAAACATTTACAGGTATGATTCATGAGATATTCTTAAAATATTTTCTTTGATACAGAAAGCTTTGAGTACCGTATCTGTTATTGTTACATAGCTTTCCAGTTGGTGATGCTTTTTTTATAAGGCTACTATGAAATATGTGAGAACTTTATTCTAATAATGCTGTGAAATATCAACATATATGATTCATAAGTTATTCTTAATATTTTTTTTTAAAAAAAATACAAGGGCTTGCATACTGCATCTGTTATAGTTTCATAGCTTAATTATATTATGTGAAAACTTCATTCAAATTAGTCCTTATTAATTATACTATGTAGAAACTTCATTCTAATTGGTTCTTGATAACAAGTATGATTCATAAGTTATTTTTGATTTTTTTTTAACACAAGGGATTGTATTTTTGTTTCATGTTATATAAAAACTTAATTCTAATTAGTTCTTAATAATGCTATAAAATATTAACAGGTGCGATTTGTGAGTTATACTTAGCTGTTTTAATTCAAGAGCTTGCATACCACATCTGTTATTGTTTCATGGCTTATTAGTTCTGCTATGTAAGAACTTCATTTCAATTAGTTCTTGATGATATCATGAAATATTAACAGATGCGATTCAAGATATACTTTGTTTTTTTTAGCACAAGGTCTTGCGTACTATATCTGTTATTGTTTTATAGCTTATTAATTATGCTATGTAAGAATTTAATTTGTAAAATATTAATAGATGTGATTCATGAGTTACCCTTAGGTTTTTTTACAAGAGGTTTATATACCACTTCTGTTATTGTTTTACAGCTTATTAATCATACTATATTAGAACTTCATTCTAATTAGACTTTGATAATATTGTGAAATATTAACAGATGTGATTCAAGTTTTACCTAGTTTTTTTTTAATACAAGAGGCTTGTGATTGTATCTGTTATTGTTTCACAGCTTATTGAATATGTTATATAAACTTTATTTATTAAATATTAACAGGTGTGATTCATGAGTTATCCTTAAGATTTTTACAAGGAGCTTCTGTTATTATTAGTTATGTTATGTAAAACTTTATTTCAATTAGTCTTTGATATATAACAGATACGATTCATGAGTTATCTTTAAAATTTTTTAATACAAAGAGCTTGCATATAACATCTGTTATTGTTTTACAGCTTATTAGTCATGCATATATGTGAGAACTTCATTCTAATTAGTTCTTGATAATGCTGTAAAACATTAACAGGTATGATTCATAAGTTATTTTTAGATTTTTTAATACAAGAGACTTGTATACTGTATCTGTTATTGTTTCATAACTTATAAACATGCTATGTGAGAACTTCATTCCAATTAGTCCTTGATAATACTGTGAAATATTAACAGGTGTGATTCAAGTTATACCTGGTTTTTTTTTAATACAAGGGGCTTGCATACCATATTTGTTATTGTTTCACAGCTTATTAAATATGTTATGTAAACTTTATTTGTGAAACATTAACAGATGTGATTCATGAGTTATCCTTAGATTTTTTTATAAGGAGCATCTATTATTGTTAATTATATTATATAAAACTTTATTTCAATTAGTTCTTGATACATAACAGATGTGATTTACAAGTTATCTTTAAATTTTTTTTAATATAAAGGGCTTGCATATTGTATCTGTTATTGTTTTATGGCTTATTAGTCATGCATGTATATGAGAACTTCATTCTGATTATTTCTTGATAATGCTATGAAATATTAACAGATGTGATTCATAAGTTACCTTTAAATTTTTTAATACAAGAGTCTTGTATATCACATCTGTTATTGTTTTATAACTTATAAATCATGCTATGTGAGAACTTTATTCCAATTAGTCCTTGATAATATCATAAAACATTAACAAGTGCAGTTTATGAGTTATACTTAGTTGTAGTGTTCCTATGAACTGAACTGAACTGAACTTTTGGCCAAGTTCAAGTTCAGTTCAAAATTGAACTGAACTTGA